GGAGAGGAGGTAATTCTGACTTTGCTATGACAATCTGGCACTTGTTACTTTTTTTAACATTAAAGCATGTCAACATATTCTGTTACACCAAATACACAAAATAATGATCTTTAAAAAAGCATCATATGACCCCTTTAACTTTGATAAAGAATATCTCTTTGGTTTTGAGACTTTAGTCTTTGCAACTTCAGGGATCTTATCTATGCACAATCAGCTTGTAACACTCCAAAGAGAAAGGAAAACTTGAAATCGCATCATATGACCCCTTTAATGCATAACTGACCCTCTTTTAAATTCAATGGATGTTTAGTATAATATAAGAGCCATTTTCTTTATAAACATACTTACCAAGCTGGATGTTTCGGACCCAAACACTCTGTTTGGTCTCTTTAAGGATCTTCTCAAAGTAGACACCAGCAAACCCACTAGAGCAACAGGCCACCAACACGGCCACCAGCCCTACAAACTGTGAGCCCGCAGTCAGCTGCTCTTTCTGTGGGTCTGACGGGGAGTCTGCTGGCCACTGTCCAAACAGACAAGCATAAATTACATGAATACATCAAAGACTATAACAAAACAGATTTTTTTTGGCAGGTAAACTCTAATCAAGGTATTTTTACTTGTACAAGTGCAATGCCAGCCATAAGAATCAGCAGAGACAACCACTGGTACACCCCGAGCCTGCGGCCCAGCATAGAAACCGAAAACAGGGCTGTGGTCAGGATTTTCAACTGGTAGGTCACCTAGAAGTGTACAAGAAAAGAAAAAAACATAAGAATGATAGCCATAAAAATAAGGCAACTACTGGACAGATAGTGACTAACCTGGTAGGTAGCCGCATCAAGGTTGGACAGTGCTACATAAAGCAGGTTATTCTGTAGCGTGTAGATACCTGAAGGAATCGCCAGCTTCAGCGTGTCTATAGGCTTGTGTAGAATCTCCTGTCTCAAAATACTGCTCAGCGCTCGGCCGCTGTAACCTGTTTCACACAGACAGCAGGTAACTGTGTCAATAATGGCAATAATGAATCAAACTCACAGCCATTCATCCCAATGTAGATTTTCATTTCAAATAAATGCTGTTCTTTTAAGTTGCAGCACAACTGTTCTCAACCCTGATAAAAAGAAATGTTTCTTAAGCACCAATTCAGCATATTAGAATCATTTCTGAAGGATCACGTGACACTGAGATGCATTCAATAATATTTCACAATATTACTGTTTTCACTATATTTTTGGTTAAATAAATGCAGCTTTGATGAGCATAAGAGACTTCTTTCAAAACCATAAAGATCTTCTTTTTTTTTTACCAGTAGAAAGGCGAGTACCATAAAACTTTTGGAAGTAAATCTCAAAGGAAACAGACTATGCAAATGCAGCTATTTGTGTCACGCATCTCACAAACTTCAAATACACAGACAGAGATTGAATTTCTCACTGCATTCACAGTCACAGAAATGTGGATGACTTTCTAAGAACTAAAGTCTGACTACATTATTACTATGGTGCTTTCAGGAAAAGTTATCAAATACAGTCTCAAGGATGAAGGAAGCCCCATGAAACTCACTATGATCTTTGAAGACAAGCCCCAAACAGGTGAGGATCTTGAGGAACTCTGCCACCACCACGGCAGAGGAGGCCAGGTAACGTGGCCCGTCACCCTGCAAGGTGCGCGAGTAACGCATGGTGAGCACCAGGGACGTGGTCTGGAACACCAGAATCCCCAGAGAGAGGTACTTCAGCTTGGCTGATGCCATGATGACAGCCTCTCACAAGGAGACCACGACAGACTGGGGTGACATGAGAAAGAAAGGGGCAAAGAGCAGACAGATGTTGAAATACAATGTTGTCCCAGCTGGGTCTGACAAGCAAGATGCTCTGTAAACATTAACGGCCATAAACAACAGCTATAATGTCTTTAACCAAGAAATCAAATATTAACCCTGCAGTTTACTAAATTTAGGGCATTTAAAGAGATAGTTCACCGTCAAATGAAAAGTGTGTCATGATTTACTCAGACATTATTCGCTCAGTGGAAAGACAAATTGACACCTTGGTCACCATTCAGTTTCACTGCATCTTTTTCTATACAGAGGAAGTCGATGGTGACTGAGGCTGTCATTTTGCTTTACATCTCCTTTTGTGTTTCAACGAAAGAAATACAGTAAACAACATGACATGAGGGGTGTAAATAATGACATTTATTACTTGTTATAGTTAAAAATGGCTAAACTGGTTTTAAAAAGGAGAAAAGGAGTAAAATATTCTGCAACTTAAGCGTAAATATAGTCAGCTGTAAAGAGTATTTACCATGTTATTTACGCATAAGTGGCTAAATGAATGTTAATTACTAAAAATGATTCAAATAATAAAACCAAACAGACGCGATGATCCCACTTGATAAAATAGCTGCAAATATCGCATTATATTTTCACAGTCTCACCTTTTCTGAAGACTAACGTTACTGTAAAGATCCGGAAGAGTTGCAGTTTGTGAGTTGGTGTTTGAATACAAACATAAACGTTAAAACCCCGTCAAAGATCCATCCTTCAAGATGGGTTCTGCATAAGTTGAATCTACACACAGTGAGTTAAATAGTTCAACACTGTCTTATTTTGACAGTTAACTTACACACTGCGAGCTGCTGCAGCTAAGCTATTATCTGAGGAAATCAACCGTTCTGGGTGTTCCTCGCGCATGATCATCTGCTATGTGTCCACCCATGCCGCATACCCTCATTCATCAAGAATGAAAAGCAGACTGTGTCAAGTGAAGTGTAGAAAATCTTCATATGAATCTCAACAATCTTGCAGTACTTCCTAGTGTTTTGTTGTTTCGAGCCTCATTATGTGTCGTTGTCACCACCTATCGGTTGGCGGACAGAGTGATGCGTGAACAGAGTGAACTGAACCTTGATTGAGAAGCGCGCGTTCACCTGCTTTTTGCATAGCATTTATTAGTCTTCGTTTTTGATCTTTGTTATAAAATGCCCTTTGCACGCTTTCCTTTTGCAAGTAGTGGGCAATTGTAACACTAATATCAATCAGCCTAATAAATAAATATATAACAATGAGGATAGATAGATAGATAGAAAGAGACTCATTCATTTAGCCAGATCAATTTGTTAAAGGTTTTCCTTTATTTGTGTTTCATCTCTATTTTAATCATCAACTGTTTATTTCCAATACACAGTTGTTGTTGTTGTTTTGTTTTTTTAATCACATATCGTAATCTATAAAATACTAAGACGAAACATTTACTTCATTCTAGCATACTGTATTGCATATATTTGGTGAACAGGAAAAGAAAGTACAATATGGCATAAAAAAACCAAAACATAAAATTATACACAGCACATATAAAAAAAAGCTTAGTATAACATTTGGGTGAAGATACAATGTTCCAAAACCTTTGCTTTGATCTTTATTTGGTGGACTAACATCCATTGAATTCCTCAGATTTCAATACACTAAATATCATACTGCTGAAGGGCCCTTAAGTGCTACAAGATATCAAATGTTTCCAAAAAGAACATGCCATATGGAGCCTATAGTACATAAAGGTTTCTATTTGCATAAGCAGACTCTCTTAATATTGACCTTGAGCTCACACAATATCATTGATCCACCCACCTGCACAAATACAGCATACCGGAACTTCATAAGACCTTTGACAGTATTTCATCACCACTCTGGCTAATGTATGCATGCATCTCTAAATACTATTATGAGTGTTTATTTGGTGTTTCGGAGACCCAGGGGCTTTATTGTGCAAAACACATTTAAAAAATGTGATTGTACTAATCAGTTTTATAAAGCTTTGCTCAAAAACACAAAACAGAAAAAGTGAAACAGCACATTTAGATTGCATAAAGTATTATTTCTAAATTACCAAGTGATTCATACGGTTGCACAGACAGGCTGATTGTATTTAGGATGAAGGAAATACATGACATGTATTTAAAACTCATGTAAATAAAAGATACAACTTCAGAACAAGTTAAACTGCTCAGAATATCAATATAGAGCAACACAAAAAAGGCAGAACAAAACAAATACAATAGTAACAATGGTTACAAAGATGTTGTAAAAGGCACTGATAATATTATGTATAAATGTTTAGTTTTCCGAAAAGGCTTGATGATGGCAGCTGGAATTCCTCTTCAAACCTCTGTCATGTTTGTGCGGCCACTGAATACTGCATACCATTTCAAAAGAAACAAAGTGGAACCCATTCGTTTTTACACACCTCCTTCTACCTCTCTTAATCATTGGCAAGGCAAAGGATAAACCGTAACAGACAACAAGGAAATAACATAAAAATGTAACATTTAACTATTTACACCACAGTTTAGCTCTGAACCACACATGAATGAATGAGATGTATGTGTAGCACATTCATGTTACCAATCGCAAAAAAGTACCACCAATTCATTTAAGAAGTATTTCATTACAAAATGTTTTCATTACATTTCACTACAAAAAAAAATGCAGGTTGATCTAAAAAAATGAGAACACATGAAAGCTGACCCATTATATAAAAAGATTAAATGATCAGTTAAAAGCATAGCTCACCAATAAACTCTGATGTACTTTCAAACCTGTATGACTTTCTTCTGTGGAGCACAAAAGAAGATCATTTAAAGAATGTTTTTCTTCATACAATGAAAGTCAGTGGGGTTCAAAATAACCTTAAAATTAACCTAAAAATAAACATTTGACTTCATTGTATGGACATAAAAAAGAAAAAAACACAGACATTTTAAAAAAATATCTCCTTTTGCGTTCCACAGAAGAAAGTAAGTCATTCAGGTTTGGAACAACAGAAGATTGTGTGAACTATTCCTTTAATGTTGGTACCAACTAAGCATATCTGGTTTTCAACATCAACAAAAATGATCAAAAAAAGACGGCAGATTAAATGAGAAAATTTCCTTCAAATTGTAAAATGTTTGACTAAATCTTGAAATAAATTTCCCCAAATTGGGGACGGTAACCACAATCGAGACTCCTTAGTTTGGCACTGTGACTGTCCATTGGTAACAGTGCCCTAGATCGTAGACGGTGGTTAACAGGATTCCCAAGTTGTTAAAGCTGTTTCTCTCTTTTCTGTGCGATGAAATATCCAAGTTAATGGGAATTTACAATACACAAACTTCAAAGTCAACATGCAGAGCGTAATAAAGACTGGAGAAGAATGGAGAAAGGATAAATGGCCACTCCTCTGGCAGCTGAAGAGAGAGTCAAACAAAGCAGCCGTGCAATTAAACTCCCGAAGGTCCTACGCATACACACTGCTGCGCTGTGACTGCTGCGACTGCGTCGGTTGCGCAGCCTGTGACGGCGGCTGCAGCTGGGCTTGTTCGGGAATGTGTGTGTGGCAGGAAGGAGGCAGTGTGTGGGGGTTTCCTAGAGGGGTGGGACTTGTTGTGACATCGGACCAGTCTGAGTTGGAGTGGGGCGACGAAGAGGACCAGGGGTCGGGTGATTCAGGCGAAGGAGTGAGGTAGGGGTGTTCGCTGGGATTGTGTGCAGGATGACCGGGGGTGGTTCCCTCGGAGCCGGCGGTGGCGTAGCTGTGCTGGGAAGGTGGCGTTGGATATTTATCCACAGGGCTCTGGCGTGGCAGATAGGAAGCTACTTGTTGTGCTTGGCTCTCAGGCAGCCCGTGAGGGAGTGCGTGGTTGTGACCGTGAGGGTGCGGAAGGGTATGCGACAGCCCGTGCTGCATTCCCACATCAGGCACGGGGTACATCATACTCTGGTTACAGTGCAGGTGCTGACTTTGTGCCTGATTTTGCCCCTGTGTCTGCATCTGCCCCTGTTGCGCCTGCTTGAGGAGGCTCTGCCCGTTGCCTGCCGCCATCATTTGGAAGGTGACAATGGGTGGCAGCTGTTCACGGCTCATGGTGACGTTCATCGGGGTGAGCATGCCCGGGCTGTGGTGCTGCTGCATGCTGGTGTGGCCCGTGCTCATCTGGTGGGGTGGCATGAGGCCAAACATGTGGCCATTGAAGCTGTGTTTGGCCAAACCCACCCAGCTTTGCTGCTGGCCCAACATGTGACTCACAGGAGGCAGCATGGGCCTCACGGATGGGGTGCTGAGCAAAGGGGGAGAATTCGCCGTGCTGGTGGTGGCCACTGCCTCTCCGGCGTACGAGTGTGGAGACTCCAGGGAATCCACAGGTGACATGGTGACCGAGCTCTCTGAGAGGCCGCCAGCTGCTTTGGTGACATTTCCGCTGGCTCCTGCCACCACCACAACATTCGTTCCCTCTCCTCCGGCCGGCTTCTTCCGCCTCTTCGCCTTCATTTCTTTTAGATCTTTGGCTGTCCCAGCTCCAACAGTGTTTGCTTTTCCTCCTGCTCTGCGATTCTTTTTGCCCTGTGGTCCTGGACGCATGCCGATCATGAATCCTGTGCCATTTGTCCCACAGACCATGGAGGAGTGTCCCCCGCCGTTGCCCAAGTGGTTAGGCCCAGAATGTGGGCTGTGCACCAGGTTGTACTGGTCCAGCAGACGCACAATGTCGTGATGCATTCGTTCTTGCGCAGTATCACGAGGCAGGCGGTCTAGGTGGTCGGTGATATCACGATTTGAATAATGATCTAGGAGAACTTGGGCCGCTTCAAAGCTGCCCTCCCTGGCAGCCAGGAACAAGGGGGTCTCCTCCTACATCACAGAACAAACAAAACTGAAGTGTTTGGCTGACACACAAAACATCTGTGCACTCGAAAAGTGATTAAACATGCACATAAACAAATAGACATGAATGAGTACCTTGTTGTCCTGCATGTCTCGATTGGCTCCATTCTTGAGTAGCACTAAAGTGGCGTCTACATTATTAACAGCAGCGGCCCAGTGCAAGGCTGACTTGCCTGAGGATAAGATGAGAGCAATGAGATTAAACCATTTTATGTCTAGAATTTCTTTCTTTCCATTTATCAACAAAGTTCTTTACTATGATGTATGTTCATATAGGTTTTCATCTTACCATGGTCATCCACAGCATTGACATCTGCATGGCAGTGCACCAGTTCCTCCACCATGCCCTCCACTGCCAGTCTGGCTGCCAGGATGAGTGGTGTGGTGCCGTCATTCATACGGGCATCAAGATCCGTGGCACGGTTACGGATGAGAATCTGGTGTTCAAAAACACAATAATGATTGGTATGTGCACACAAAAACTCACACAAAAAATTTTCACAAACCCTGAATAGAGAAAGAAATGAAAAATATACTATCTGCAAACTACAGTTGTCTGTGTGTATATATAAATACATGAACATTTTTCCACAGTGCATGAGAACTGCCCACAGAAGAGATATTCAGGAAATAACCAGAAGATCCGATCAAAAACTAACAAAACAGGACCCAGATCAGCTAATTACATGACAATAACCCACCCAGCTTTGCTGCTGGCCCAACATGTGACTCACAGGAGGCAGCATGGGCCTCACGGATGGGGTGCTGAGCAAAGGGGGAGAATTCGCCGTGCTGGTGGTGGCCACTGCCTCTCCGGCGTACGAGTGTGGAGACTCCAGGGAATCCACAGGTGACATGGTGACCGAGCTCTCTGAGAGGCCGCCAGCTGCTTTGGTGACATTTCCGCTGGCTCCTGCCACCACCACAACATTCGTTCCCTCTCCTCCGGCCGGCTTCTTCCGCCTCTTCGCCTTCATTTCTTTTAGATCTTTGGCTGTCCCAGCTCCAACAGTGTTTGCTTTTCCTCCTGCTCTGCGATTCTTTTTGCCCTGTGGTCCTGGACGCATGCCGATCATGAATCCTGTGCCATTTGTCCCACAGACCATGGAGGAGTGTCCCCCGCCGTTGCCCAAGTGGTTAGGCCCAGAATGTGGGCTGTGCACCAGGTTGTACTGGTCCAGCAGACGCACAATGTCATGATGCATTCGTTCTTGCGCA